TGCTAAGGGAGACGTGAAATCAATTGACTGCGGGCTTAGAGTTCACACTGAATACTACACAACACATAACTGAATGCATAATATGTTTCATATCTAATAAATCTCTATAAGTATTGAACAATACATTTGTTGGACGCAAACAATTAGAAAAAAAGTTGACGAAAAACAGGACCAAAGCTATACAGAGAAGAAGGAGAAAGAGTGGAGGAGTTGTTGAGGACTTGTTGAGGATTTTGACATTTTGTGTGACCACCAAAAGGTGCTCTTATAGTCAATTCGCACTGTTGCTTACAAGCAAGCTAACTAGACTTAAGCACAGTGCGAAGTCACTTGACTTATCGGAGCAAGCGAGGGACCTTTCTTACGTTAGTCAGCTTTCTTAAGTTTTAGTGCGAACGCTCTAGTGACTGGACTTGGGTCAATCCACGCCCACTCGAGCTGTCCAGCAATTGAAATTGAAAACAGGTTTTGATTGCTTAAGAAATCCTAATGCGAACGCTCTCCTCACTCAAGCAACCAATTTTGTGACTGAAGTAAGCAATAGTGCGAATTGAATATAACNCGTTGGCATTGGAAGTAGTGATCACGAAGTTGTCCATCGGATGGATCAGTGAACGGTCTTCGTTGGACTCAACCAAACAATTGATGTGTTCATCGCATGTCTTAATGTATTGAGCGATGAAATCGTTATACGTTTGGCGATCTATGCATTCAATCACAACAATTAGTACTGTTTTAATGGATCACTAATTATGGATCAATTCATACCAAATTTGTCACTCATTTCTGGAGGGAATTGCATGTAATCGTGACATTGGAATTGAGTCCGACTTAAGACAATGCCGTAGACTTCGATCAGACATGAGTTAGTGAGTGGTGTCATCAGCTGTCAGACCAAAAGACATACAAATGAGACAATTGGTGGCAAACATGGCATCAAATGACTGACCGGTTGTGTGAACACAATCTGAACGAACTGCTCGTCCGTTGTCTTAATGGTCGCTCTTTTGCCGTCATTTTCCACCTATAAGTCAATACAATATGAATCAAGACATGAGTCACTCAATTGATCCCAACCTTAATGACATCGCCGACAAGAGTGGCCGCCTTTTGCACGTAGTTCTGCATCAAAGCACCGGTGATTCGCGTTTTGGCGGAACTGCTGTAAGTGTCCATAACTGACGACAATTGTCTTCAGGCCTTAAACTATACAACGATTTACTAATCAATGAATTGAATCACAATTTCAGCCAAACTTCGAAACCAAACGTTTTGTTTTGCAATAAATGCGCCAAACATTGAATCACACATTAATTACGTCTATTGTATTGAAAGCTATTATTTTGTCATTTATTTAATGATATTTTTATTTAATATGATATGAATTGCAATTTATTTAGCAATAAATTATACGTAAAACTAGTTTTGTTAATTGTTTTAATAATAAATAATTAACAGTTTTAAACAATTAATATAACGTTTATAACAAATAGCCGTAATTTATATCATAATGTGAAATGTAGCCAATTATGTGACCACTAATGCCATCTATTAGTGTTGATTGCAATCAAAAAGTTTTGCAAACTTTTAAAACTTCATTCAATAGGAATTGAATTGGATTTGATTTTTGATCCAAACATTGAATGATCTCTTTATTTGACTAATAATACAATTCATAACCATTTGTTGTATGCAAACGGAAATGCAATTCATTTGATTCTCACAACAAATTCAATGCAATAAAAGTTTTATAAATAATAATTCTTTCAAATTTTATAACAATGTATTGAAATATTATAAAAAGTTATACAGTTGTACAATTGATTTGATATATAGTTAAGTAACAGTAATAACTTCCCTGTAAATTTGATATAGTTTAGGAATTAATATATAACTCTTAGGGCTATTATACAGTATAAAGTTTGGTGACAGAAATTGTATGGACACAAGTGTCCGGACACTTATAGAGCTGTTGAATAGTTGTGATTAGCTCTGATTGAAATGCTTTCAAAGTTTCAACAGTTGTGTCAAATCATATATTAAATCCTTTAAGTAATACATGATATGATTATGTGATCGCATGTATTGCACGAATATTTTTAAAACTTATTTTTCAAATTGTTTTCAAAGCATAAAATTCTTTAGTAACGTGTGTTTCAAAAACAACATTTCATCGCATTATTTATACATGAAATACAATTCTTAATGTCTGCTATAATATGAAATATTTGATTACATAATAGATATGGTGTAAAACGGATTAGTTATGTAATAATACGAGCGCTCGTAATGCTAAGGGAGACGTGAAATCAATTGACTGCGGGCTTAGAGTTCACACTGAATACTACACAACACATAACTGAATGCATAATATGTTTCATATCTAATAAATCTCTATAAGTATTGAACAATACATTTGTTGGACGCAAACAATTAGAAAAAAAGTTGACGAAAAACAGGACCAAAGCTATACAGAGAAGAAGGAGAAAGAGTGGAGGAGTTGTTGAGGACTTGTTGAGGATTTTGACATTTTGTGTGACCACCAAAAGGTGCTCTTATAGTCAATTCGCACTGTTGCTTACAAGCAAGCTAACTAGACTTAAGCACAGTGCGAAGTCACTTGACTTATCGGAGCAAGCGAGGGACCTTTCTTACGTTAGTCAGCTTTCTTAAGTTTTAGTGCGAACGCTCTAGTGACTGGACTTGGGTCAATCCACGCCCACTCGAGCTGTCCAGCAATTGAAATTGAAAACAGGTTTTGATTGCTTAAGAAATCCTAATGCGAACGCTCTCCTCACTCAAGCAACCAATATTGTGACTGAAGTAAGCAATAGTGCGAATTGAATATTATATGAAGAGTAGTGTCATATTTGGTAGCAATTGTTGTGTGCATTGAATTGCATTGAAATGTATGCATGAAATACGAGAGACAAGTCTTGAAGTGAGAGACTTTTGAGAGTGCATTGACTGACAGCACAACACAAACCATACAAACACTACAAACACTGCATTTAAACGCTAAACATAATTATCCCATCAATTGTTGCTTACGTTTAGTTTACAAACACTTTATATACACTTTATATACAGTCCTATTGTTTGCCTTAACTCCACATTCAATACAATTATTATATAATCTATTCATTGAGTTATTCATCGATTGTGTGATCAAAAAGTTGTCATCAATTCATTGAATTGAGTCCAAAAATAATGTGATTTGTATTTACTGTTCATAACAATCAACACAAACACACTTTTCATACAACCCTTTGGCACTTAATTATGTATTAAAGCCTCAAAACACACCAATTTGTGGATCAGTTGCCCACAAATCCCATTCATCTCATCGACAGATCAATTAGTGACCACCGATTGTCTCCAATGAGTGTGTCAGTGATGGCCACCGGTTATACCTGTATCAGACACTTCCTCTGCTTCATTAACCTCTTGTTTTGGGTTTGTGTCCATTGTTTTAAATGATTGATCCATTCATTGATTGTCTTGTCTTACCATTGATGACAGTTATTGGGGAGTTGTGTGTTAGGAGTGGGCGTATGGCTCACCATATCGTACGAGACTTACGCCCGAATCCTTCCCTCGTATCACATCCTCTCTGCGGACAACTTATCCATAATAGCCGTAATTTATATCATAATGTGAAATGTAGCCAATTATGTGACCACTAATGCCATCTATTAGTGTTGATTGCAATCAAAAAGTTTTGCAAACTTTTAAAACTTCATTCAATAGGAATTGAATTGGATTTGATTTTTGATCCAAACATTGAATGATCTCTTTATTTGACTAATAATACAATTCATAACCATTTGTTGTATGCAAACGGAAATGCAATTCATTTGATTCTCACAACAAATTCAATGCAATAAAAGTTTTATAAATAATAATTCTTTCAAATTTTATAACAATGTATTGAAATATTATAAAAAGTTATACAGTTGTACAATTGATTTGATATATAGTTAAGTAACAGTAATAACTTCCCTGTAAATTTGATATAGTTTAGGAATTAATATATAACTCTTAGGGCTATTATACAGTATAAAGTTTGGTGACAGAAATTGTATGGACACAAGTGTCCGGACACTTATAGAGCTGTTGAATAGTTGTGATTAGCTCTGATTGAAATGCTTTCAAAGTTTCAACAGTTGTGTCAAATCATATATTAAATCCTTTAAGTAATACATGATATGATTATGTGATCGCATGTATTGCACGAATATTTTTAAAACTTATTTTTCAAATTGTTTTCAAAGCATAAAATTCTTTAGTAACGTGTGTTTCAAAAACAACATTTCATCGCATTATTTATACATGAAATACAATTCTTAATGTCTGCTATAATATGAAATATTTGATTACATAATAGATATGGTGTAAAACGGATTAGTTATGTAATAATACGAGCGCTCGTAATGCTAAGGGAGACGTGAAATCAATTGACTGCGGGCTTAGAGTTCACACTGAATACTACACAACACATAACTGAATGCATAATATGTTTCATATCTAATAAATCTCTATAAGTATTGAACAATACATTTGTTGGACGCAAACAATTAGAAAAAAAGTTGACGAAAAACAGGACCAAAGCTATGCAGAGAAGAAGGAGAAAGAGTGGAGGAGTTGTTGAGGACTTGTTGAGGATTTAGACATTTCGTGTGACCACTATTTGGTGCTCTTATATGAAGAGTAGTGTCATATTTGGTAGCAATTGTTGTGTGCATTGAATTGCATTGAAATGTATGCATGAAATACGAGAGACAAGTCTTGAAGTGAGAGACTTTTGAGAGTGCATTGACTGACAGCACAACACAAACCATACAAACGCTACAAACACTGCATTTAAACGCTAAACATAATTATCCCATCAATTGTTGCTTACGTTTAGTTTACAAACACTTTATATACAGTCCTATTGTTTGCCTTAACTCCACATTCAATACAATTATTATATAATCTATTCATTGATTGTGTGATCAAAAAGTTGTCATCAATTCATTGAATTGAGTCCAAAAATAATGTGATTTGTATTTACTGTTCATAACAATCAACACAAACACGATTTTCATACAACCCTTTGGCTCTTAATTATGTATTAAACCCTCAAAACACACCAATTTGTGGATCAGTTGCCCACAAATCCCATTCATCTCATCGACGGATCAATTAGTGACCACCGATTGTCTCCAATGAGTGTGTCAGTGATGGCCACCGGGTATACATGTATCAGACACTTCCTCTGCTTCATTAACCTCTTGTTTTGGGTTTGTGTCCATTGTTTTAAATGATTGATCCATTCATTGATTGTCTTATGTTTACCATTGATGACAGTTATTGGGGAGTTGTGTGTTAGGAGTGGGCGTATGGCTCACCATATCGTACGAGACTTACGCCCGAATCCTTCCCTCGTATCACATCCTCTCTGCGGACAACTTATCCATATTTGTCGGTTGTCTCACATTCTTCGTGGCCTTCTGTGGCTGTTGTGGCGCTTGGTTTCAGAACAAGTGTCTTCTCACCACTTATTTGGTCTCAATTGTCATTTTGATGATTCTGGAGATCACTGTCGGAACACTTAGTTTCGCGTTTCGCCGCCAATTGACACACACTTTGCGCGAAGAACTTCTGGACGGCATTCGCGATCGGTATCTGTTGGACGACTCGAATGGCATCCGTACCACTTGGGATCAAATTCAGATCAACTTCAACTGCTGTGGCGTTAATAACTATACGGATTGGCACTCAATCAGCGCCTGGCCTGACAGCCAATGGGTCCCCAATTCGTGTTGCATTCCAGCCCTTCCTTCCAATGACACGAGCGGTGAGATCGACGAGAGTGTCGACGAAGAGTGCGGACGACATCCCGAGACTGATTCCAATCGATATCGACAGCACGGATGCTATTATAAGATCCGGCACTTTGTGCTCAATAACCTCCACGTCGTGGGCCTGACATCAATCGCTGTGGCGTTCGTCCAGTTCTTCGCTATCGTCGCCGCACTTCTCATCGTCTGTACGATGGACTACAAGAAGCGGAACCGTTCGGTGTTCAGCCATAACAGTCGTCCTACTTATAATCGAGTGCCCACTCTATGATCAACTTCGAGAGTCGATTCCATCCATTATCTCTATATTATACTTAATTTAACACTTTATCTCTTCAGCTGATTATTGTTTAGCGAATCTCTGGACAGCTTTTTTAAGTACAAAATACTTATAACAAACACAACTTAATCTATAAGTGCCTCAAAATACATGAATTTATTAATTGTTCGGTACTTATAACCGGTGGAAGGCTTTGATAATTGTATTCACATTTTTAAGATATAGTTATTTTATGATATATTTGTTTATTTACCAAATAATTTACAGTATATTTCTATAAAACCATTGATTATATTCCATATTATTTATAGAGAAATAAAATACTAAACTATACCCTAATTGTATGGCATATAAAGACATCACTTTCTGTTCAGTTTATACGTCAATAGCAATTGAAAATAATTAATGCATTGTTGGCGTAAAGTAACTATAAATAGCGTTAAATCAATTTCGCAAATTATAGCCTACAATACACAAGTGCTTGGTTTGTGTAATGAATGGTAAATATCAAAATTGAAACAAAAGGATAAATACATAACAAATTGCTTTAAATTGTGTGCATAAAAGCATTGTATAATTGATTGGATAATCAGTTGCCAAACATTTGCAGAAAGCAATTATTAAAAAATATATAACGATATAAATTAAATACAGGATTTGCTTATCACTCGAAATCCTTTTCACTTCATTGCATAAGTTATGAGAAATAGCTTTCGATTCAACAGAAAGTGAATGAATGGAGAATATTATGAAAAATTATAGATAAGAAGATTATATGAATTATGCAAAGAAGTCGTCTCTAGTTATTAGTCTACTGTATATCTACTGAACGGTAGAAATATGTATTTGAACCGGAATTGAGCCAAATATTCAGGTAATAAAGGAAACCCAAACCGAACCACACCTCCGGACCGCTCCCAACAAAAATACTTTCCCAACACTTTTAACGTTATGTATACTGTATTACAGTATATGTCAAACATTTTGTTGTGAATTGACTTTTCATTATTCAACCATTTATACCGAATATCCTGTCTTTCAATTTGAATTAAAACTATAATTAATAGAAATATTTGATAGGATTTTGCATTATTTAAATAATAATCACATTTGGATTCAAATGTTTTATTGCATTTATCGCTTAACAACACCAAAGCAACTAAATCTATATATTATTATCAGTCATACATTCTTCTCATAAAAAACTATCATATCTTCACACAAATTATTTATAAAAACTAGCATTTATTGGTTTTTAAATCAATATTTTAAAAACTAATATATTTTAAAATAGATAAAAAGGTCATTTAAATGGAAGATAACACTAGTTTGTAAGTTATGTCAATTTGGGGTACTCTCAGATAAATTAAGCCAATATTGCAAAAGAAAGTATTTTCACATGTTTTGGAAATTTTTGATAAAAATAAATATTGAACTGAAACTTCATTGACTTTGAGAAAAGGTATTTATTTTAATGTTAGTTTTCCTCATTTAATAGAAAGAAAAATACATTATAATTCAATTAAACGACATATTATTTCATAACACATATAATGTTTGTTTTAATACTAATTTCCAATTCATTGTCTAATAAAAAATACAAAAATATCGAAAACAATAAATTCTATTATTTATATACAAAACAGAAAAACAAAAAACAATAAATGATTTGTTCGAAGAGATGGAAGAGATTCTGTCAAAACTGAAATCTCAATTCGTTTGACACACAAATTGTCTAAAAATTTAAAAATACTAATCAATAAGAAAATGGTAATGACTTTCCAAATGCAATGGCAATAAAAATAATGAATTCTATGATATTATGCTATTATGATATGAATGTAACATTTTTTAAGGCAATTTCCAATTCACTTTGCGGTTCGCGAGTGGCCGCTGTCATCGGCAATGTTATCAATGATGTAGTCATACAGTTTTTGCATACATTTCGCCGGTGTGTCGGCGATAGTAATAATAGTTTGGACCGTAAATACTGTCTCCTCTTCTCAGTCATTGTCTGCATTGTTAGTTTGGGTAAAGGTTTGAGCTCTTTGAACACAGAGCCGGGGAATGCCTTCATTTGTCGCATACGTAAAAACTTTGTAAAATCCATTTCTAGTGCCGTTAAGAGCCAACACGTCGTGTTATCTGTCTGTCTATTCGTTAGTTTAATTATTACATTTGTATTATTTGTATTGACTTTATTTTGTGTCTCATTCTTCTTTCCAACGCAAAAATCAAACCATTCATTAGTCCTGTTGTGGAGTTCACTCACTTCTCTACTCATCCTTTCGCTGCCGAAAGCCTTAACAATAAGCGAAAACTTTTGCTTAAAATATTTGTAGAGTTGATGGTCGGCCCAATTCAGATCTCTTATCCGGTAAATAGCAGTTTCTGTCAGATTTCGTTTAGCTGTGATTAGACGTGCGTTCAGCTGAAACATAACACAACCTTAATTAGCATTTCATTTCAAACACATCACCAAATTTTTAATTTTGTAACATTTAGTTTTAATTAATTACTCAATCGTTATATAACGTGATTCCGTAGAAATTCAATTATTGATATAAAACTATTTTTTTAAAACTCAAACTTTATTTTCTGTATTCTATTGCACTGTTTTAGATTAGACTTTAGATTTAGATTTAGATTAGACACATTAGATATATTCTTAACGCCTAAAGTTATTTTTCAATGATATCTGGTTTTAAATCATATTTTATATGATATATTAGACTAAAGCTTCTGAATGTTGTTTTAAAAAACAATTTAATCCTAATGTTTCATTAAAAATTCTCAGAAACGATTAGGATATCTAACCGATTTTCAAGAGATAATTCTCAAACACATTCTTTATGAACTTTTGAGGTACATAATTTACAATTCACTTTTTATATCAATATATCTGGAACTTACGTTACTATAGTAGCCATCTGGAGCACAAGAGGTGTTTGAGAAGGACTAGAGACTCATCCATGTGTTCGGAAACCATAACTAAATCAAAAATAGAGTCCAATTCTTGGATGTATTTCTTGAGAGTATAGGGTTTTGTAAAGTCGGTTATATTCATCCCTAAGTCAAACATCATTTGATTGATGCCTATTTTGCCGATATATCTGTTTGTCCGCAACCTATCGGGTATTTTAATGGACTGATTGCCAAACGTGTCGAAAGTCATATTCCAGAAGCGATCCAAACGGTAGTAATGAAACATCGACTCAAAGAGGTCCACGGGATCCCTCACTATTGTGATGAATAGCGTCCCGTTTGGCATCAATGCGCGCATAGATTGATAGTTGAGGCGCGAGTGATGGGTCAGTATATTGTATTCGTGTTTGAATTGTTTGGGATCGGGAACCAAATCCTCAGTGAATGGCATCGGATGTCCCAAATAATTGGCTTTTGCCGGCAATACAAACACTTTGTTGTGAATGAATCCGTTTCTCATGAATATATTCTGGATGGTAGAAGAGGCGCATTTGTGGGTCTTTAGGAACACTATATTATATTTGGGTTCACAGGTATTGCCGGTCGTTGTCGTTGTGGTTGTGGTCGCTGTCGAGTCGGTGGTCGCCGTCTGTGCCGATGGTGTCGACAGTCTCTCCACATTCTTCTGCGCGCCGTTAATAAGAATAGCATTTGTGTTCAATGTATCGATTTTATGGCCCAAATGTGTCGTCGAGTTTGGGGTTTGTTTATAATTAGCACTATTTTGTAGACTTAGAAGCTCTCGATTCCCTGATTGAAGCCAATTATATCGAGAATATTCTGTACTGTCAGACAAATAGTGACACAAATGAATGTAAAAATATATATCAAATAAAACAAACGCTCGTTTAGTTTATTGCAATTT